TTCCTCGGCGCACCTCCCTGCGACCTGAACTCTCGTCTGTCATGTCACAGACATCGTCAGAGCAGTGCAACATGATCAACAATACTTCACCAAAAACATGAAGGCAATAAAGGTGGCCAGCTTCAAACCGACTTCCTTCTTACTTTCCAACTTAGTCCACTTGCGCATCTCATTTCTTTGTTGGATGTCCTATGCTTTGCCTCCATATTTGCTAATAATTTAAGTTTAGTGGCTGCGAATGACATGTAAGGTGGTTGCAAATGAAGTGTAAAATGGGTGCAATTTAAACCAAACAGCTGCTTCCTCCCCTAAAATGCGTATGCCTTTGATCCTACATTTTTTCCGCATGTGATTGCATCCCATTGCACGTGTGTTGTGGGAGTTCACTGCTCTTGAAATGAGTGTAATGGGAGAGTCAAAAACCAGATTCCAGCCTAATCAAGTCTCCTCCTCTTGCTTGGTGGTACTTCTCGTTCCCTCTCTCTTTCTCTATCTAAACTTATCCAACAGCCAAAAGTAGTTTCCGTTTATTTTCCTACACTCATTCCTTCAATTCAGGATGTTGGCTGTTCTGTTGATTTCTTTCGCCTCCCTAATCTTTCGTTTACTCATATTGTCTTCATATCCAGCTAAGCGTTTGGCATTAGACCAATCTATCTGGTGTCCTATGCGAGCCATGCTTTCGGTCAATTCCGATTTTTGGACCCACATACCCTTGTAGGCTGTTTTGTGCTCGGATAAACTCGTATGTATGGGTATACAGATCTCTCCCACATAGACATTACCACATAAATACAAAATCGTGTAACAACCTGACCTGAAAAGCAAGTCAGAATATTTTCCAAAAGATGATAATACCGAGGATAGTGTTATTTTCCTTTTATAAACGGTCCTGATATCCCACAACGGCTATCTTCTTTGACAAATTACACGATGGCAGCATAAGGATCCTGGTAGAGTGATCTATCTTTTTATCAAACCCAAAATATGTATTCCCTTGATTCTATTTGACAATATTCTAAAACACTTGTCAACCAGCCCTCCTGGACAATTAATTTTCCTCCAGAATTCCCCTTAGTCTCCTCACGTCCTGGTCCTGATGTTTAGCATTTGCCAGACACGGACTCCTTATTATCATAAATTGTATAACTCCTACTTTAACCACATAAGTGTGGTTGGAGAAAAAATTCCAAAGGAAACCTCTATCTAATCTGGTCCCCTCTTTGCTAACTAGGACATCAAGAAAAGATAAACCACCTTCCTTTTCTAACTATAGTGAATTTCGTCTTCCCATCGAGCCCTTTCATCAAACCAATAGAATTCTCAAGGTTTTCTTTTCAATGTTGCCAAATAACAAAGTAGTCGCCCATATAGCGAACTAAATTGCTTCCTGAATTAAACTTTCCTCAAATTGAGCCATATAGTTATTTGCTAAAATTGGTGACAAGCACGATTCCATGGCTAAGCCTCGTGTTTGTTTGTACAGTTTACCATTAAAGGTAAAGTTCAATGGTACAGTGCATCGCTAGGTTGGTCAGTATCATTATTGACCCTTTACTTAACTTCGTGCTCAGTTAAGTCTCCGCATGTTGATCTAGTGTGTCTGTATGCTATCATCTGTATAGACTTAACTTCACAACTTACCAGCAAATCCCCACTTTCTATCTCCTCCTCGTCGACTAAGTCAACGAATTCATGGGAATTCTTGACTGAAACCTTCCACGTCTCGGAGATTTGCTTTAACTGGATGTTTTATGCATCACGTTTCCCTTATTATTCGCAATAGTTCTAAGTGGCACTTCATCTGTATGTATTTTGGGTAGACCATATGCATTCGGAGGCGTAGCATCTCGTTGAAGAAGCCTGTTCATTTTCCATTTCTTCAGCTATCCATTTGTTAAACAATGCGGCAGGCAACCCCTGAGTCTAGACTTAAAGGTTTCCGTAGGGTGCCTACCGATTACCTTGTATGTGGTAGGGTCTTCCAAAGCCTGCATCATTTTTTCTATATAGCTCAACTTATCAATAACTACCACTGCTCCTTTTTTGTCTGCCCTCAACACCATTGGGTCCTCATCATCCATTTTCCTTACGATGTTTTCACTCTCTTGTTCCTGGGTGTTATTTCTACATGGCTATCAATTAAAGGAACGACATGCAATTCAATATCACTTCTAGTCCCTTATGAAAGATGGTCAGTAAAACTTATGACTTCCACCAGAATTTCCTGCCTATTATTGTTACCGTTTGGAAAAGCAAAGTTCAAACCTTTTGAGAGCACTTTCTCGGTAGTAAAGTCCAAGGCTATTTTCGATAGATTGACCGCTTTCTCTCTAACTATCCTTTGCTCACCACTGTCTGTCATAGACGTATTTTGATTAGCCTTTGTCCTGATTCCTATACCCAAATTCCTAAGTTTATTATCATGTCTGAATCTAACCTGTTGAAAAACAATATCATACAACCTGTCTGCCATTTTTTTGTAAATTAGTGAAATATTCCGAACTTCGCACAAATCTACAACCATAGCTTCAAAGCTTCCGCTAGAACCAACTTACCACTCCATTCCACTTGCCTATTCAAATGAAATGAAAGGTACTACAACATTTTAGAACTTCTGCCTAAACACATGATGCCCATAAAAACATGACCAAATTCATCCAGCAGCGATCTTTGTGATATTCGCTGAAAAGGAAAACAACAAGTTATATGTCTTTTGAAATGGTTGATCTTAGCCCTGATAGCATTATTCTGTATCTTAAATGCTCTATTGTTCGCTCTTCGATAGACGCACTCTGATTTGCATTCTCTGCACATATGTTAATTTGATCATATATCTAAGCTGACAAAAAGCGACTTTCGATTTTTATTCGTAATACATAATATCAGATAGCTAGGAAATATGGATAATTACATGAGACAAATACTGCAAAAATTATGTTGTCGTAGAGTTATGCACATCCCTCACATTATCATAATCATATGAAGTCTACGCATAGGTTGAAGGCATATTTT